TACCAAAGTATTGGGATTACAGATGTGAGCCACTGTGCCCGGCCCCCATCATTTATTTCTTTTTATGTCCTCCAAAGACAAAATGGTTCAACACTGTGTCTGTCCCATTCCCTTTCCAAGTTCATCTCCTGGATCTAAGGCCCTTACCCTCTCTCTCATCATCACTTAAGCCCATTCAATCATTCAATAACTGTTTATTGAATCTACTATGAGCCAAGCACTGTTCAAGGACCTGGAGATGCAGCAATCAAAACAACCAACTAGAGTCCCTGCCTCATGGAGCTGACCTTCTGTGAGACCTCAGTCCCCAGGCTTCACTTGTGAGACCACTTAACTGTCCTTAACTGGCTGATGCTAGCTCCCCCTGCCCTACTCCTGCCCTGCTCTGCTTTGAAGCCCTGTCCATTCCAGGCTTTCCCCACTGCTGCTTATGTCTTTCTTTCACTGAAACACACACACACACACACACACACACAAACACACGCCCCTCCAATTTTAAACTGAGGCACAGCACAGCAGAGTTCCAGGGCTCCTGCTACTCACCGCTTCTCGCTCCCGGTCCATGATAGTCTCCAGCTCCTCAAAGTGCCGAAGTTTGATCTCCAACTTTTTCATCTGGGTCTCCACCAGCAGGGCCACCAAAGATTTGATCTTCCTTTCCTCAACGGCAGCCAAGTGCTAAGAAAGGAGGGGTGAGACACCACGTCACTGGGAGGACCCAACTGAAGACAATACATAAGAAAGGTAAGGTGGATGCTGGCAGGTTTAAGGACAAACTTGCTGTGGTCACAACCCATGAAAGGGCTTGAATTTTTTTGTGCTGGGATTATAGGTGTGAGCCACCATGTCTTTTTTTTTTGTTTTTTCAGACAGTCACTCTGTCACCCAGGCTGGAGTGCAGTGGCATGATCTCGGCTCACTGTAACCTCCACCTCAGGGTTCAAGCAATTCTTATGCCTCAGCCTCCCCAGTACCTGGGATTACAAACAGGCGCCGCCATGCCGGGCTAATTTCTGTATTTTTAGTAGAGATGGGATTTCACCATCTTGGCCAGGCTGGTCGCAAACTTCCAACATCAGGTGATCTGCCCACCTCAGCCTCCCAAAGTGCTGGGATTACAGGTGTGAGCCACCATGCCCAGCCTTTTAAAAAATTAATTTATTTTGGCTGGGCGCGGTGGCTTATGCCTGTAATCCCAGCACTTTGGGAGGCCAAGGCAAGCAGATCACTTGAGTCCAGGAGTTCGAGACTAGCCAGGGCAACAGGGTAAAACGCTGTCTCTACTAAAAATGCAAAAAATTAGCCAGGCATGGTGGCACGCGCCTGTAGTCCCAGCTACTCCAGAGGCTGAAGCAGGAGAATCACTTGAACCCAGGAGGTGGAGGTTGCAGTGAGCTGAGATCACGCCAGTGCACTCCAGCCTGGGTGACAGAGCAAGACCCTGTCTCAAAAAAAA